CATGAATGGACTTTGGGATTTAAAAAAAAAAAACAAAATGTGGTTTTGATTCATCAATGAGAGATGTATAAAGGATTGAAACAAAATGTGGTATTTTGCTTCTGGTTGCGGAAGGGTGAGGGAAGCTCCTTGGATCCCTATCATGGTTTTTTAATGTATTGTTCTCTGCTGGGAGCTGCTTTGTTTTTTAGGACTAGTGATCCTAGGGGTCTTTTTTTTAATCTTCTGGTGACAGTTTCATTAGTGAAATGCAACAAGGTCCTAAGGTTTGTTGGTTTGACTCTGATTTTACTTTTGTGACAAGAGCATTTCTTTATTACCTTACTTTTAGCTTTTATTGTTTTCAGTCTTCCTTTTCATCTTATCCTTGCTGAACTTAGCCATTTTGTAGAGATATTATTGTAATTGTGCAGCTCTCTTACACACATCAATTTTTATGCCATTAAAGTCTTGGGTTAATAAGACAAAAGAATTGCCATTGCATCCATTGGTGATGGGCTAATATAATTATGCTTTTTAGAAAAATATTACCTATTATTTACAGTTCACTAGATATTATCTTGCTTTGTCTCATATTACATTATGAACTACTTGCAAATGAATATTATCTTGCAACTTAATCTATGCAGGTAAGGAGGCTAGGAACTGCAATGTCAGCTAGTTTTGTTAGGTTGGAGAATGGACAAACTAATATGTATAGAGAGGAATTAGAGAGAAGAAGAGAGAAAAAGAGAGATGACTAAAATTAGTTGAGGAAACCACATACTATAAACATTGTAGAAAGCTTTAAAAATGGTTTTTAAAGCATTTGATTTTTGAGGCATTAGTTCTACAATTTGATTTGAGAGGCACTTTTATGATTTGTGAGCATGCCTTTCTATCACATATTAAAAGGTTATATGTGTCTCTATCTTATACCTTTTAGCTGCACATTTTATATGCTACCATATGACTTAAGACTGCAGTCATATAGCATACAACTGCACTTTAATTTTACTGTTAAATCCCATAAACAAGTGCAGCCACACTTTTTCATACATTGGCTAAGATTGCACTTTTTCTAAGTGCAACCTTAATCTAAGGCTGCATATTTTTCATCTATGACTGCAATTTTTTTTTACAGCTAAAGGTAAAAAATGTTGTAGTAGCATGAGTTTATTTTATATGATGCTAATAATAATTATAGACTATAACAATTTGTAAAAAATTAATAGTAATGAAATCTTACTCTTGCCTTTCAAAAAAGAAAATAATTATAGACTATAACAACCAAAACTTGACCTAAGTGATTGTTATCTCGCTTTTTGAAGTCTAAAATTCGAATCCTCTCTACCCTTTAAACATCCTCTTATATATAAAAGAATTTTATTATAGGTTATGATTATGAGAATAACTTTTATGAACAAATTATTTTATAAGTGATAAACAGAACCCAATTCTCGGATTTTCTTAGTTACTTAAATCTAAAAACAGATTAATTATAAATTCAAGGTAAGATAACGCTATATTTCTACTTTTTTTACCTTAAAAGTTACTCATCCAGTTATAAATTGAATATTAATCTTACTATTTTAATATATTTTAAAATAACATATACTTTCTCAAAATGGAAAACACTTTTTCTAATGCTGTCATTCATTGAAATACTAATTTCATGGGATCATCAAGTTTTTATGTGAATTTAAGGGTAAAATTTGTAAAGTAATAACCAAAATATATACCTCATTGTTAAAATTTTGTATCATTTAAAAAGTAAACGTTCAATTTGAAACAGAAACAACAATGAATATCACTTCTCAATCCTTTTGTTTATTCTCAAATTCTGTTTAATATATTATTTGCAAAGTTATCACGGTCCATTAGGGTTATTAAAAGAAAGTAGAATAAGGATTTACCGATGAACATGATAAGAATTTTGTTATTTATTCCATTCTTCTCTCCTTCCTATTATTTCTTTGTACAGAGGTAATAAAATACAAACAAATAAAAAACTCCCACAATAATTGCAAGCATATTAGAAAATGATTGGTTCTTCTTACATTCTCGCGTGACCTTCACATGTAAAAGAAATGCAACTCACATGAATATAAGAAGATGTTAGTATTATTTCCATTATTAATTTGGTGTACTAAAATTAATAATTATTTGGTGGATATTTAAGTTCCAGAGTCTTACTGATCCCCACTAGTCACAAAAAGATTGTGGTCGTATTTCCTCATGTGGTGGATGAAGGAGACATCTATCTATTCAACTAGAAGGAGAAACAAAGCCAAAAAGCACCTACTCTTTTGAAAGCACAATCATTTTGAGTAAATACAAGAGTAGTGATACTCATAAAGTCATGTCAATAATGTAATTATAAGTTTGCTTTTTGTTTCGACGCATAATTTAATTAGTTTGGTACTCATATCTCTGTTTCAAATGATGATGAAAAGTCTTAAATTCAACCCTCTCTTGTTTTAAATTATATATCACTTTTTCTTCGGTTGGTTTGTTGTTTTCACCCTTTGTATTCACGACATTAAAAATAGTTATCTTAACAGTTAGAATTTGAGATTTTAATCTAAGATTTTGCATATAAAATAATTTTGAAAGGAACAAGATAAATTTATAAAATGGGAAAGAGAACTACCTAATTAAATCATATTTAAGAGGGCTTTGAATCAATTGGATGAGAAGTTTGATTGCCAAAGTTAAGATTAGCTAGAATTTATTATTGATACTTAAAAGGAGGCAAATCACTTTGCTAATTAAAATAGATAAACTTTTGACAACTTAATTAACTCATGATTTGGTGGCATGCATGGTTATGGTAGAGTGATTAAAGCCTAATTATTTGAGACGTTGGTTGCTGTTGTGAACTTATATATGTTGCAATTATCTAAGCTTAACCGAGCAACTAATTTTAATTATATTTCTTCTTCTTCTTCATCATTCATCAATAGAATGTTTCTTTAATTTAATTGTAACTTCCTTGTGGATGCTCTCACAGGAGCCATGATGGTGACAGTATGAAGATTACATGCATTATTCTACCAACTCTAAAGTTTGGAAAAAAAATCTTTCTTTTGGATCCTTGATTACTCTTCCTGATCCAAAATAATTAATACATATAAGACATCCAAATTAATGACAAAGATATTGTCAATTTCTTCCTACCCTCCATCAATGAAACCTGCGATAAAATTAATTTATTCTGCACTAAAAACACACAAAGATGACAAAATAATAACGGGGCAAAACATCATCAAACAGTAGCTTTTTTTTTTTTTAACATCTTTGTATAGGTTTTCAACTGAGAATTAGGGCTGCAAGCTTCCAAGAAATTTAAGATCATAAACATTTGGTATGTCTCAAAGCATTGGATTTTCTTAATTTTATATCACAAGTGGACAAAGGCGTCAAGGAGTGAAAAGGAGAGGAAGGGTCTAGGTGATTAAAATGGATAAAGAGGAGAAGGAACACGACTGCAATAATAGATGAAGGTAATCATATTACTCTAGACGTAATAAACTTCCAGTGTTTGATGATTTTAACGAGGACGACAAGGTTAATGTTGGTGATTGTGATGTGGTTCATTATAAGGAAAGAAAAGACAATTATTGGAATTAGAGCAATTCAAGATGCACATCTTGCAAACCTTTAAAGAGTACATTAATTTTGGAAATACATCAATACTCTCCAGTGGTGTGCCAACAAGGCATGAAAAACCAAAAGAAGTTACGCTACTGTTTTGGACTATATATATATATATATATATATATATATGCATGTTTTAAATTAATGATGTATATATTGGGAATTTGAGATTAGGTTTTGAGAGATTACTATTCCATTTTTTTTCTTTTTCATAGTAAGTTTTTATGCCATTACATGTAAGTCGATAAATCATACAATATAAATTTCTATATATTTTTTACTTTTCCTTTTTTGTATTTTAGCCTTCAATGGTGAACCCTTTTGTCTTTTCTTTTTTTACTATTTAAGATTTGTCTAAGGATTCATTTAATTATCATTGTACCTTTATTATTATATACTTTTTTAATTTAAAATTGTAGAATCGAAAGATTTAATTAGTTGAAAATGAATCTTTCGCCTTACATCTATTCTGAGCCCCTCTCTTGCATTTTCATATTTAAAAATAAATACTAAAGGGGGACCTAAGCGTTGTTTGTAGAAGACGATACACGGAAAGAGCAGCTGTTGGGGCAATTGCCACTGTCTTTTCCTCTTGTACAAATACTAGCCCCAGCAACCAAAAGAAGCAAAAAGAGCTAAACCAAAAATGTCGTGTCGCTGTCGAAAAGACTGGGCAACTTTTCACAATTCTAGTGGGAACTTTGCTTCATTTTCCCCTTTTTCTTTTCAAAAAAGAAAAGAGCACTTCTTTTCTGGTCCAACTCTCTACACAGATCCAGGCCTGTAGATCACAATGGGCCAAAATCTTAAGACCACGGAACCAGATACCTTGTCTTTCTGCTTCTAGTCTGGGCCTTGGCAAATGCAGGTAGGCACCCTTGCGGGTTAGTTTAGGTGCAGCTGCTGGACGACAACTTTTTTGATTACTTGAAATTGAATTTTGGTTTTGGAAGCTAAAGTGAAGGGAAATCAGGTTATACCTGTGTAATTTATTACTTTGAAATAAAAATTTAAGTACATTTTTATTTTTTTATTATAGTTAATCAAATTTTTATATTTTTATTTTTATCAAATAAATTTTTGTAACATATTTACCTATATTATATAATAATTCATTTTTATTCTTAATCGAGAATTTCATCAATTTCATTAAAGTACATTCTTTTAATATTTTATCTTAATATTATGAGGTTGTGGAAAATGGTCTAAATTTAAAAATGAAGGTAAATAATACATTAATTTTGTTTTTTTAAATAATTTCACATTTATGTTATCGTTTTTTTGGAATTTAACAATTTTGAAATTATAAATGGTTTTGACTGGGAAAACTTTTGAGATATTGGGCGGGGATTGCGTGCACTCTGCCTATTGGTCTTTATCTAAAGCGGCATCATTTGAGTCCGAGGGCACACTGGGAATTCCAGCGGCCACCGCTTGCAATTCCGTTTCTCAGTCTAACCTTCCGCTAGAAATCAATGAACCGAAATTGAAAAATAAGAAGAAAAAACAAAACAAGTGGGAAATCAAATAATGGTTTTAGAACTATTTCTCCTTGCCCTCTGAATGTTCCCTCTTGGAGTTCTTCGCGGTTCCCTCATATCCCAGTTTCAATTGCATTTGACATCTGGGATTTGTCCTCCTGGCTCCTTTCCTTCTGGGGGTATGTGCTGAACCTTTTAAAATTCTGCCATTTACTTTTTGTAGTGTTCAATTAAATCTGTTGGAATTTGGAAGCTTTGCTAGGTTTAATGTAACTGCGTGTCAAACATTGCTTGGATTTCTGTTAACTGACTAATGACCCAAAGTTGTCTCTAAATGCCAGGAAAAGCGAACGGTTAATTTGTAAAGTTCACTATCTGAAAATGCAGAAATGTTGTTAAGTTGCACTGGACTTAATTTATAGGTTCGTTTTCATTCCAAGGTTTTTCACTCGGAAATTTTTCTGGGTCTTTGGAACTCGTTTACGTTAGCCCACAAGCTTTATCTTATTGGCTGTTGGCAATAAATTTCAAGGTTTTCATGACAGCAGTTGATTGTTGGTCTTAGTGGTTACCTACTTGTTACGTTGAGGTTAATCCGTCAAAATCTTCTTGGTATATAATTAATGTTTTTCTGTTTTCCAGTTTAGAAATGGGGGCAGAACAGTGGAAAACTTATATTGAAAATGAGAATCCAGCAAGACTTTCACCTCCACCTGGTTTTGCGTCTCTTTCGTCTTTCTTCTTGAAGAAGGTAGAAAACCATGAGGAAAAGTGGGGCTTCACAGCCTCGAAGGGTGCATCCACACTAGAGCAATTGCAGGAAGAGGCCAAACCTGACGTGATTGATGTTGACCGGTTAAAGGAATCTGTAGGGAATAGACCATGGATACTCTTTGACAAGAGTGATCAAATTGGAAAGGAATGTCAGCCCGTAGAACCTGATAAGGTCATATTTATGCCTTTTCCCCTATTCTCTCTCTTTTACACATAATTTGTTGAGTCCTTTATATGCTAGAGTATAGTCTTAGAATTTATGTGATTCTGTTTTACAAGCTTCTGTCTCTCATGATTTGAAACCTCTTGACCATTTATTGAATCCTTGAAACAGGGAAAAGCAAGGGAGTGTCCTGGTGATGCAAGAAGAGATGTTCTTGAAGAGGCGCCTGTTTTTCGCCCCTCTGAAGAGGTTTTTTTTGTCTCACTGTAACAAAAAATGACATTTGTGCATTTCACTGGTTCTGTTTCAATTTGTACGTTCCACGTTTGTCAATGTCAAATGTTTTGAATGGTAAAAGTTTCAAATATTTAAGGGGCTTGAATCTTATCCCCAGGAATTCAGTGACACGCTAAAGTACATTGAGAGCATACGTCTTAGAGCAGAGCCATATGGAGTTTGTCGAATTGTTCCTCCTCATTCATGGCAACCACCATGCCTTGTTAAGGAAAAGAGCAAATGGGAATGTTCCACATTTGGTACCCAGTATCAACAGTTTGACAGGTTTCCAGCTCAGTCTGTAGAGAGCAAAACAGCTGAATCTTATAAAGGTACAAGTCAGAAAAGAAGCTCGGGACTGAGTTTTGAGCAAGGTGTTAGTAGTGGATACTCCATGAACTCTGAGGAAGTTGGATGCTCAGATGTGGAGCGCAATGTGTCAAAACCGGGTCCAGAATTTACTTTAAAATCATTTGAGAAATATGCAGATGATTTCAGGAAGCAGTATTTTTTATCCAAACATAAGGATGTCGGTTGTTATGTCAATTGCAAACAGGGGGAGCCATCAGTGGAGTGCATTGAGGATGAATATAGATGGATTGTTGAGAATCCCACTGGAGCATTAGAGGTATGGTACAATCATGTAATGTGGCCATTTATTATTTCTGATCTATGTTTGCTTCTGCTCATAAATAACAGCTTATGTACGTCTGTCTTTTTTCTTCATAGGTGCTCTATGGTGGCAATTTGGATACTGTAAATTTTGGCAGTGGATTTCCAACAGCATCAAATCCTTGGGATTTATGTAATTACCCAAGATATGTTCATTCAAGCTGGAACTTAAATAATGTACCTAAGCTTCCGGGTTCTCTTCTTTCTTTTGAAAGTGATAAGAGTTCTGGTGTATTAGTGCCTCAGCTACGTATAGGAATGTGCTTTTCATCTCTTTATTGGGTAAGTAATGGTTTTGTTAATCACATGTTAGTCCTGCTAGATTGCAAAATGTTAAATTTTTCTAGTATATTTGTGGATATCTGTATCATAGACTTTTATCCATGTTCAGTAAATAACAATCAAAGTATTTTCTGTGTTTCTGGACATGGCTTTTTATATTCCTGTCAATTTATTTAATCTAGTTTATGTGCAGAAAGTTGAAGAACACCATTTATACTCACTATGTTACATGCATGTGGGTTCTCCAAAAATTTGGTATTGTGTCCCTGGGAGATATTCCTTCAAGTTAGAGGCTATTATGAAGAAGTACCTTCCAGATTTGCTAGTTGAACATAAGCAGCGTGATGGAGTTGTGAGTAATAATCCCTTATTGAATTGCATGCAACATATTCTTTTGTTTGTCCTGTAAGAGGTTATTCCATGGCATGCATACAGTAAGCATACGGAGATTCATGCTTTGATTTTCTATATCATTTTTCCTTTGATGTATCTTTAGTTTATTTGTAACTAAATGAAGCATTGAATCCTGATCTTTTCCAATTTTGTAAAATTTATTTTTACAGAAAACTTTATTTTAAGCGTACCTTTTAAATTTAGAATGCATTTATTCCTCTTTGATGACTCATATCTGTGCATCGGCACGTATTAGCTGGAATCTATTACATTCTAAGAGTTCTCTAAATGCAAGAGTACACTGAATGTAACCTTATGAACAGAGAGAAGAGTTCCAGGTAAATATCGTTTTTGTGTATAAATTTGCTGGCTATATATGAACAATTTCAGTGGACCACTATAATTTTATTTGCTAGAGAGCTAATTTTTATCCTGATACTGTTGGGGTCCTTGTCAGATGAGTCCTTTACTATTCACCTGATTTCAATTTCTCAGTTTTCTGTTTTAGATGTTAGGATGTTATAGGAAGCTTAGGAATGAGGAGTTCATTTATACCCTAAAGATAAAACTATTTGATGCAGATCACAAGACTTTCTCCCTTTGTGTTGAAGTCTGAGGGTGTACCTCTCTACCGTTGTATTCAGAATCCTGGGGAGTTTGTTCTGGTTTTCCCTGGAGCCTATCATTCAGCATTTGATTGTGGGTTTAATTTTGTTGAGGCTGTTAATTTTGCTCCTCTTGATTGGTTACCTCATGGGCAGAATGCCGTAGCAATCTATCAAGAACAGGGAAGAAAGACTTCAATTTCCTTTGATAAATTGTTGATTAGAGCTGCAAGAGAAGCTGTGAGAGCACAGTGGGAGCTTCTGTTAAGGAAGAACACAATTGACAATTTAAGGTGGAAAGACGCCTGTGGAAAGAATGGGATCTTAGTGAAAACACTCAAGGTATGCTTCTGAATTTCACTCTGTGGTCCAGCTTGTAATCTATGTGATTTTGAACTACCTTGATTTAGATATGAAAACATTTGTTATCCACTCCATACTCCATCCTACCCCCAAAAAGAGGAAAAAAATGAACTCTTCTTTCAAAGAGAGCAGGGGTGTGGTTCTATTTTCATTGTGTGTGCATATGTTTAGTTGCTGCTTTGAATTTGTATTGATTAGATAATATTGTCATTTTATGCTTAAGTGGAGCAATTCGCCTTATAGTTAACTGATGCTTTTTGTCCTGTTTTCTGTTTTGCCCTTTCTCCTCACATGGGAGCATGCAGTCACGTGTCAAGCAGGAAGGTAATAGAAGGGAATACCTTTGTACCACCTCTCAGACAAAGAGGATGGACAAGAACTTTAGTGCTACTGGAAAAAGGGAATGTAGCATATGTTTCTTTGATTTGTACCTCTCAGCAGCACAGTGTCCATGTTCTTCTGATAGATATTCATGTTTAAATCATGCAAAGCAGCTTTGTTTTTGCACATGGACTGAAAAGATTTTCTTATACCATTATGACATCAGTGAGTTAAATATTCTTGCTGAAGCATTGGAAGGGAAATTCAGTGCAGTGTATAGATGGGCTAGAGAGGACCTTAGTTTGGCTCTTAGCATTCCCAAGGGAAACTCATGCGCAGAAGATAAAGGACAAAAAAAGCACACATGCCAAGATGCAGGAAAATCTTATGGAAATGATTGGACAACTGCTTCTTCCGTCAAGGCAGAAGTAAAGGCCCGCGTACAGCAATCAAAGTACCTGGATGAACAAAGATCAAAAGAGAAGACGGTATCAACTCCTCTTCCAATTGTGACTCAAGATGAGACTTCCTTTTTACTTAGTGAGATGATGTCAGAAGCTTTGTCATCAAGTACAAGTATGTCAAGTTCCTCAGAATCTGAGGAGACGGCATACCTTGGCCTTAATGATGGAGGAAAAGGATGCATCCTACCAATATCCAGTTTGAGCCCTGCTAGTCCTAAAAGAGGAGTCAAATTATCTGAGCTTCCGAAAGATATTTCCAGTAATCATGGTAAAGCAAAACATTTTAAATCAACTTCTAAAGGACTGCCTATGAGGCATCCAACTTCTAAGAAACGAAAAAAGAAGTAAATCTGATCTCAGCACTACACCCGGCATAGACCTTGATGACGAGGGTTGATTAGCTACACGGTCGTATCTGCTAATATAGCGGACAAGATAGAGCCAATTCAGCCTTTGATGTATGTTTCCTGTGTTCCCTACCTCATTGCTCTGGACAAAATTGTAAACATATTGTTGGAGTCAGATTGCAATTGTCTTTAGTAGGGGCACGAGGAAGTCAGGTTAAGGACATGGGATTTTAGGTTGTGACAATATAGTTGAGATGAGAGGAAATTATGGAAATCTGTAGCCTCTTTTTCTTTGAAAGGTGTGCTTGATTTTGAAGCCTGTTGGCTGACTTGTTTTCCCTATTAATATGGGAGAAGCAACCTCTTCCTCTTTATGAAATCCAGGCGGCAGATTGCATCAATATGGGAGGTAAAACATGCTTCCTAAGGGTGATATTCATTTCTGGCCTCTTGTTTTGCTTCATTTTTCCATACACTTGTTCTCTCTCAAGGTTGTTTTCTAGTCCTTTGATTATATCTAATCATCGACAATTCCGTTTTCATTTCAATTATTATGGAGATGATTTCTCACAAGACAGGGTAACCTGGGGCCGTTACATCTCAGAATTTCTCTCATATTTTTAGGGGTAATCTCATAGCTCTCCCTTTCCTCTTAGGTTTATAATTGATGCCGGGAGAAAACCCCTGTTTTCTTTTCAACCACAATGCCTCTATTTAAACATTGTTTTGATCCAAATTGTCCTTGAAATGCAAACCAAAATAATAATTGTTTGGTATTTTAATTTCAATTTTATCATAAAATCTTTTTTTTTTCATTTTATTTTCTAAATATGGTTCAAAGCAAATGTAATTAATAATTTTATCATAAAATCTTCATTTTTTCTTTTTCATTTTGTTTTCTAATTTGAGTTCCTTTTCACTACCCACATCT